AGATTGCCGAAAAGGTGCATTTTAACCGACTCGACGATCCAAAGAGAAGACTAAAGAATAACACCTCTATGCAAAAGAACATCACCGGAAGAAATACAAGAGTACTATGACAGCATGATACAACACACCTGTGAACAAAGAGCGGTGGATGCTATGAAAACCAAGATGACATACCTGCAGTGATCATTGCGGCGCAAAGACTGCGTCAAACACTGCGTGGGACGGACAGTTGAAAAGGAACAATAAACACTAATCTGCTCCCAGGAGACGCGATCAATTCTCAAACGTCTCTCAAAGTGGAAACTAGTATGGACGCAAATTCAACGCACATACGATGCCACCTGTGTGACCAAGCAAAAAGTAACAAAGGTTGCGAATCTAGGATGGTCCGGCGCTCCAACAATAAAGCAATAAACGAGCAAGGTGAGATCAAATTTGCCTGGCACTTGTTGAAGGTGTAATAAATACAGCGCCATACGAGGACCAAAAATGTCTCTCTAGAACGAGAATAACAAGAACTATCAGGCCAAAGAAGCAAACGGGCTGACGAGCGGAAAGTCACAACAGAAAACGTGCGCAAGCCAGTAGGTCAAAAGGAAGAAAGCAATTCATAATTTGTAGGCCCACTGGTGATGACGAATAACGGAACGTATTGCGGACGGAGGGTGGACAAATGGCCATCAAAACAACAAGAAAGCGAGCCAAAACGAAACACAAGTTGGCCAATCCAGACGAAAAAAGGGGTAAACAAGTGGTAGGTAGACGGATCAGTCAAACGCAAGAAAGACATACCACAAAGCAACAATTTCGAGATTGACCCAAAAAATGGAATGGATTTCACACTCAAGCATAAGAAACTCATTATGAAGGTACAAAAATCACGACGGAAAACTGAAATTAGACAAACAACCACGAAACTGATGATGTTCATTCATTTGGTGATTAGACGTCTGAAAGCGAATTTCCAGCCTGAACCAACCGATCAACTGCCACCTGATCGACATCCAGTTGACGTCACACGCCACAGATGTTTGAAGGTCACGGAGTTTTTCTTTTGAGAATTCGCCACTCGAGGGGTCAGTCAACACGTGAGCGACTGGCGCGGTTTGCCGTTACTGAAAGATGGTTGGCGCGCTTCTGATGGTCCTGAACAAAGATGAAGCAGTTGTACAATTTTCTTGGCATTTTAGCGTAGATCAGCTTCACTGACAGGATGGAACCTCTACTGAATATGATCAAATCTCTTCACGTCATACTGCGTTTTAAATTATTTTGTGATGCTTCAAGTGCGCGTCCTTCCAGCATGTAAGCAAAATTAGGTGTTCACACACTGGAGAGCGGATCGCAATGGGAGACCGAAACATCACCTGAGGCTTATGCCGTCAACCTCTCAAAAAAATGAACTTTTGTTCCCATTCAGTTGTGGTCTACTGAACTGATTTTACAAGAAAGTATGCTTTATTAAGAAGTGAATTTCTTGGTTTGCAAAAAGCACAAAAAATGAGGGTTACACGAAATAAGTCTTCCGTTGTGAATTTTCGAAAATCAGCCAACTTGAAGACATGATTTTGCAGAATGCCAAATGGTTTTAAATGTCATTTTGAATTGTCACAGTTTAACTTCTCACTATCACAAACGGGACACAAACGTGACATTTTGTCGCTTTTACACATCAGAGAAATCTTTCACACTAAATATTTGGCGGCAAACCTATGGGAAAAACCTCATAATACGTAGGATTCTGGATTTCGTTACACATAATCGGTGATATTAAAGGTGTATAGCTAGTCACACAACCTAATTGGGTTTATCGTTTTGGCTTTTAAGACGCACGTGACGTCAGAATTTTGAGAGAACCTCCATGAATTAACCACACAGTTGGTCAGTTGACTACAATTCAAATATGTGTTTAAGCCTCCGCAGAGTTTATAGGGAGCGGAGTAACATACTACTCGACGCATTCCATGGAAGCGGATGACATTGGTGCAAGGTCTCCCCTGTGTCCTCCGTGGAATAGGGCGCATGGTGATGAATTGGGTTCTAACTGGAACAAAAATAAAGGTGCGCTAGAAGGAAAACATTTGAGATTTATCCAAAAATCCAACATTTGAGGATGTCGTCAACACCAGATTACTTGACAGAAACAGCAGGACTGAAGGATTCTGGATGGTTTTATATAATTCAACCCAGTTTTGTGGTATCTACAATATTATTCCGTAAATAACTTATTTAAGCTACCTGCTTCAGCCCAGTGGTATCTACAATATTATTTCGTAAATAACTTATTTAAGCTACCTGCTCGATATTTTGAGCTTGTTAGGCTAAAGTCATTCCTTTTAAGCAGTGATGATCACTATGTGCACATGAAATGTTCAATCGAAGTGTAAAAAAATTCAAAACCATTACTTTTGGGCGCTATTACAAACAATCTAGATCACTTAATTATTCCGGGAATATTGGTTTCCCGAAGATGATTCTCCAATATGAATCTGTTTTAAATACTACTTTTCACTACTACTACTTTTCCGATCAAGTTTGTTTCATCGATTGGAAGCGATATTTATCGACAGTTTTTGCTTTCCTGATTAGCTTACAGGAGATTCACGTGAGTCCTGAAATCATGAATCATTACCAACAAAACTGGTAAAACAATGTGAAACAATACTGAACCAATAAATGGATTTGACTGACGTCTCAAATAGTTAAGATTAACAGAATGGAAAACCGTTTTCAACACCCTGACTACCGGCCCCTTCGAAATAATGCTAGAAATTCTCCCACGGAATTTTGATGAAACAGCTTAAGAAGAGGATACAGAATGCTAAGCGTCGCCTCCAGTAAGATAAGTGCGTCGAATTTGCATCGGCCGTCCGCTAATAATTAGCTTTAGTTATACTCCCCCCCAGATAGAACAACACGCCTACCCTTTTAACGCCTGTCTTACTCAATAAATAAGGCAGTAAATCGTTGCATTCGAAGACATTTGGAACAAGAAAGTTATATGTTTTGATTATAAAAGTCATAACCTGGATGGTTCAGACAACTGAATGTGCTGTTGACATGACGACAGTAAAACAGAACGACGTTTTGGGTGCCCTAAATTGTCGCAGGTACAAAAGTTACATGACGTCGCTGGGTAAAAAATATACAATGAAAGCGTAAATAAACCCACCGGAAAATCAACTCCAGTAGTTTCAATGAGCGTTCACTTCATCATCTATGCACATAGTCTAGCCAACAAACCCAAGGACACAATCAAGTCATCTTTGTTCTCTAGGATGGCCAACTCATTTTCTTAAACTCAACTTTGATCGTTTCCAGTCATGGGGAGGCGAGCAATCTTCTAAAATTTTAAGGAATGTCTAAGCACAGGTGAAATCTAGACGAAGAGTTTTGATCATGTTTACAAAGCACTCTCTCAAATATTGCCTTCAAGACAATCAGAAATAAAAACTTTTTTTACTCCAACCTTACTTGCTTAGGCCGGCTAATATTCCTAAATTTGTAAGAAAAAATTTGGTTAGTTAAAAACACCCACCATCTTAGCCTATCACGGCCCTCAAAATAGCTCCCGCCTCTTGGGATGAAACCCATAACGCTAATTATAGGTTGGTAAAAACTTTTCAGCAAGTTAATGAACACAGGATATGCCAAGAAAAATCATAATGTGGAATCTCGAATGCTGTGACGACCGAATCATTAGATGGCCTTTGTGCGCCAAAAGAATTTGAAAATAGTTGTATTAGATTACCCCTCTGTATGGTTCTTTCCGATTATGGCTTGAATACGTGAGTTCATTTTCCGATTTCGCCCTCGGTGGTCGAAGGCCTTACGTCAACGATCAAAAAACAGCAATTCAGATGGATTCGATCGGTCTAGTAAGTTATAAAATAGGAGTGCAGAATGTTGACCGACTTCCGTGACATACAACTGATGAGGCACGATCTGGTAAGGACGCGCATGGTTCGCTTGTACACGGCCGAACGTTTATTCTCGTTTCACCTAAACAGTCTCGCAATGAACGATTGCAGTTGACATAAGTAGGCCACATGCATTTAGCTCCCAACTAAATCCACCCAAGAGCATTTGTTTTTCAAATTTTATGATCCTAAACTGAGGCGCGACGATGTTGTCTAAAAACAATCATAATTTGTGATAAAAAATGCAAGCTCATCCTGTGAGGTTTATCATCGGCCGCTCGTAACCATCGTATGGTGCTGCTCGTTTAGATCTACCCGGTGATTCTTGAGAATACAAGGATAAAACAGCTCTACAGTAGGTCCCCGCATTTTATAATCATTTGACTGCTTCCGTGCCCCGAGAATGAACTGATTTTCTTTGAGGTATTGAGTAAGACATTGAATATATGCATCCAAAGAGAACAATAACTCTTAAGCATTTGTCCATTTGACAGATTGCTGAAAGCTACCACAAGTGTTCAACGTTCTGCTTCTGAGCCCTCTGGTTCCCGGTCAAATCTGGTGCAACGTTAAACCGCAAAAAGGCAAAGCTTCGGAAAAGTCTGTATGATAAAATTTATGAACAGTCTTCTGTATCTATTTGGAAAACCTGGACAAGTTCTGATGCACCTGTCATCTGCCGATGTCCCAGCATACTGACATATTCTGACTGCCGGGAGGATAAGACCAGGCCAGTCAATTTTTCAATCGTGGGAACCAAAATCGCTTGTGGTTGTAAATCACATTTTGTTGCTAGTAGCGTCAAGTAACTCTTGACGTCAACTCGAATCCCCCTTCCAAATCGAAATGACGTTGGTCAAGCCCACTGATACGTCTAGAGGTTTAAGCATAAGTGGTTGAAAATTATCTGGAGGCATATGCTTAAAAATAGAATATTTTCTGTTGTATATTAGCGATGAATTGTACAGTCTAAAAACGTCCCAGAAACATGCAGGTTGTCCTTTGTGGTACTGAGAGAAAATTGTGCTCCAGCGAGCATTTTTCTGCGGCAAGTATTCATTTGATTTTACATTTTTGTAGGATCTTCAAACAGTGATGGGTGAATGGGTGACTCCGTTTACTATCGTAGTTAGTCCTATGCATCACGAGATCAGTAGAGATCAGTGAACTTTGTAAATCTGCTTATGTTGAGAGGGAAGTACCTGCCGGTTCAGGTTTCTGTGTGCAACCAACCCCGTTCATTACATTATGTATGCAGTAAAGGAGAGTACCGCGGAATTTCGCTCAAGACGACCGGCAGGCTAGGAACCCGAGGCATCGAACCACTCACTCACGCTTTCATTTCCCAGTAAAATCGCGATTCTACCGGCAGGACAATGCATACGCGTGAAATGAGCTCAAGGAGTACAAACCTAAAGCCGAGATGATTCTGGCCAAATCATTTGGGTTACTTGGAGTATCATTCCATACCATCAATAGTATTCAAATTACCGAATGATCTTTGTAGTTTCGGCCTCTCGCCAGTCTAGTTTCTCTGGTAGACATGGATAAACATCAAAATATGCCTAAAAGGACGTTATGCAGTCTTCCGAGTCTAACTTTGGATTCATCTTTCGAGAAATGAGGGCTGTATTTTCATATAAAATGCTTGAGTCGTGTTTGGCTCTCATTCAGCTCTTTGCACGGTGCATCCCGTTGTCTGCATTCGGATTTGAAATGCAATACAGACAAGAAATCAGTAGCCTTGCATGCATCTGGACAGGTGAACAAAATCTAACCGCATGTAGTTTTGTCAAAGATTTAAACGACACACCAGTAGTTTTCCCAGTTTTATTGACCGGTGGTTCCCCATCATAGCTTCACAGTCATCTGTCACCACAAGTGATTTGAACTGCTAGTACACGTTTGGTTACCTGTGAGTTTATTCACACTTTGTTTATCTGATATCTCCATCAGTTCTCCGTGATGAACAGTCGTTTCCTGACGCAACTAACGTAGTCTGTTCTCACAAATAGTTGCTCAATTTTGACGATGACAAGCACTAACTGTAACATTATCGGGAGAGCAAGACAGTTTCAACGAGTGTTGTGAGAATTCAGTTGCAAAGCTGCACACAGAATTAACAAAGAAACGAAATGTCATGAAGTGGACACGCTGTCAAAGAAATGAATTAGGAGCTTGTGGCATTGGAAACCAGTTGGTGTGTATGCAGGCATAGTCGCGATAGAATTTCAATGAGCAAACACTAGTTCTAATGTTTTGTTAATAACGACTGATTTCTGAGATAATGAAATTCTTTCGCCTTTTCACATGAAATCTGAAGCTAGATTACGACGCCAAACGTCTCCGGCGGTTTGTTGAACAACAGTTGGTTAAACATTCTCTTCGCTACATCTGCGGCCAGCGTGGCAAGATGGTGAGATCGTGAACTAAGATCTGGACAACCTCACATCATTAGCTAGGTCTTCAGTATGCCCCCGTCCCAAAATTCTACAAACATATAGCTGTATAAATAAAGAGGCAACAAGAAGCCTTTAAAAGTTTTTAAAAAATGCTGTGACGGACCGCGTCTTGTTTTAACTCGCACTTCTGTGCTGTACTTTCAAGGTTTTGTAATTGGATCCTGGGTCCGACTTTTATCCGAAAGGTAATCAATGCGTCTATTCTGCCCGCCAGAAAACCAGACAACTTCTTGCACCGAAATTCGAGTTTCTTGCAAAACTTCTTCTCCGAAGAGGGTCACAAAATTTAGCCAGGTGTGGCGAACTTCCCGCAATTTTATGTTCAAAACAGATTAGCTCACAAACCACTAACGCTTGCGATACTCCGAATGGTAGACAGGTTCCAAATAGGTCGGAAATGGGGAAGAGTGACTGATGAAAAGGGTGGTTACTACCCCCTTTCCTAGGCAACTAAAAACCCCGTGAAATCGTATCAACCGGAAACTAAAGAGCTCTGAATGCTTTACCACTCTTTCTTTCCAAGTTAAATTTCAAGTTTGACTTGCGGACAGTTACACCTAGCCCGTAAATATTTGTGTGCACAAACCAACCCACACACCAAAACAATGACCACTTTCTTTTCCTTTTCTGTTCTGTCTGTAAAAAGTGTGCAAAACAATCGGATGACATGGTATAGTTCCCTCTTTTGTCACGCACATGAGGAGCAAAATACCGGGGCTCTGGAAACTTGCGAATGTTATTGGCTTAATTGATCTACTGAAAGTACACGGGTATGATAAATATGGAGTAGTTTCAATAGTAGGGTACACTCCCATAATGAGCTGACAAGATCAGTCAATTAGGTTTCAGAGAGTCTTGTGAGAGTTTGATGACCTACAATCGGATGTAGTGTTGCTTGGGTCAGGAAAAAACGGACTTCCGTACGTCTTAAAATCAAGACGTAGCAAACGAAGTGATCGACTCATCGGGGACGAACCAGGCTATGAAATCAGTTCAAGGGATAAACCGTTATCACCCGACTAGCCGGTGGAGATCCATGAGGTGTTGCGTAGTTGAACGCTTTCACAAAATTCCCCCGCTGGGGTGACTACGTAGTCGAACCAGTCACATATCGATAATCCCATTCAGAACCTCTACGTCCCATACTTGTTTTTCGCTGATTAGAACTGTTGTAAGGTTACAACGAAAAAAACCTCATTAGCGAAATACAC